GTCAGCCTTGTGAATCCATTGGTGTGAAAGTCTTGCATTATTACTAAGAAACTATAGCAAATCCAGAGGTTGATGCAGAGTTTTTTTTCAGTCTGTAGAAATATCTTTGATGGGATAGGAAGAACTATTCCCATTTACAGGATTGTGATAATGTAATGAGCATATCGGATTTAAATTACCGTATTTTTCAGAGTATAAGACGCAGCTTAGTTTTTTGGGGGGAAAATAAGAAAAAAGCTGATTGGCGGGTGGATCGGCCTCCTGGAATACCCCCAATCAGCTGTTCCCAGAGGTGAAGTTTAGCAACAGGTTCCTTGGTTGTGAGCTCTGAGCCTTCCTTTTTTTTTTTTTTTTTTTTTTTTGCTTTTTTTCCTGCCTCTGAAAGCCTCAGAGTTTCAGAAAAAAGCCTCTGAAGCTCTGTTTGGAGGCTTTTTTTCTGAAGCTCTGTTTGGGGGCTTTGTTTCTGAAGCTTCATTTGTGATGCTTTTTTCAGCCTCAGAAACCTCCCTTTGAGAAGCTGGGCGGGGCTACATTTGGAGTATAAGATGCACCCAGATGTTCACCCTCTTTTTTGGGGGGGGGAAAAGTGCATCTTATACTCCAAAAAATACGGTAAAATGGGTGGTCAGATCCTCTTTTGAACCACAAACTTCCTAAATGATTACTACATTTCAGTAAAGCTACCTTGCAAATGACTAAATGAAGAGACACATACCTTCTCATTTATTACTCTTAAAAAGCCTAGATAAATAAATTTATAGCCTTGTCACCAAGTACTTGGTGGTTTTGAATTCTGCTCATCAGCAACAGTGTTAATTTGTTTTAAACCCTCATGTAAATCACACGTTCAGTTGGATTCATCCTGTTACATCAAAGCTATTCTTACAATCAATTCTTGCTGTTCCCGACCACTAATTGGGAGTTAGTAAGGAGAACAGCTTGTGTTGACATGGAAAATCATTACAGTACAACTTTTAAAAATATCGTCTTTCCAAGCACATGCTTGGAAGGAAGAAGCTTGAATTCATTAGTCATTGGGAAGACATGGCTTTTGAAATACTGGATAGCTGTTCAAATATAGACAATCGAATGTATTTTTCATTCTGAAAAGCATCTTCGTAAATCAAAACAGCATTGTATTGCATTCCTCCCACAACTCCCTTGAACAGTTTGCAGGCAACGATATTAGTGAATAACTGGCCAGTCCTTCATGTTAGCAAAATCACTTAGACTTAAATACCACTTTACAGTGCTTTAGAAGAGAAGAGAACAGAACAGAACAGAACAGAACAGAACAGAACAGAATTATTCATTGGCCAAGTGTGATTGGACACAAAGGGAATTTGTCTTTCGTGCAAATGCTCTCAGTGTACATAAAAGAAAAGATACATTCGTCAAGAAACATAAGATACAACACTTAATGATAGTATAGGGTACAAATAAGCAATCAAATCATATTAGGAAACAGTCAATATAAATCGTAAGGATACCAGCAACAAGGTTACAGTCATACAGTCATAAGTGGGATGAGAAGATTAATAGTAGTGCAGACTTAGTGAATAGTTTGATAGTGTTGAGGGAATTATTTGTTTAACAGAGTGATGGCATTCGGGAAAAAACTGTTCTTGTGTCTAGTTGTTCTGGTGTGCAGTGCCCTATAGCATCTTTTTGAGGGTAGAAGTTGAAACAATTTATGTCCAGGATGCGAGGGGTCTGTAAATATTTTCACAGCCCTCTTTTTGACTCATGCAGTATACAGGTCCTCAATGGAAGGCAGGTTGATAGCAATGGTTTTTTCTGCAGTTCTAATTATCCTCTGAAGTCTGTGTCAGTTTACAGCCCTCTCTAAGCGGTTTACAGAATCAGCAAATTGCCCCCAACAATTTGGGTCCTCATTTTACCCACCTCGGAAGGATGGAAAGCTGAATCAACCTTGAGCCTGGTGAGATTTGAACTGCCAGATTGCAGTCAGCCGGCAGTCAGCAGAAGTAGCCGGCAGTACTGCACTCTAATCACTGCACTACCGTGGCTCATGATGGCTCATGATGTTTTAAGGAAAGAGGAAAATCATAAATTCTGACTTTAAAATTGTACATTAGGAATAATTCGGACATCATTTTTACATTTCTTTTTCCAAAGATCCTTGTGTGCTATATGTACTGTACATTAAGTGTTATAGCAACAGCAATAGCATTTTGACTTATATACTGCTTCATAGTGCTTTGCAGCCTTCTCTAAGCAGTTTACAGAGTCGACATACTGTTCCCAACAATCTGGGTCCTCCTCATTTTACCAACCTCGGAAGGATGGAAGGCTGAGTCAACCTTCAGCCGATCAGGATCGAACTGCTGGCAGTCAGCAGAGTCAGCCTGCAGTTCTGCATTCTAACCACTGCGCCACCAGGCCTCTTATCAAGAGTTGTTTTCAAAGAGTGTTAAGTAAATTGATGGACAACAGGTCTGTCCAAATTCTTGGCCTTGAAGACTCAATATCCTAGCCTGGTTGAAGACGTTTGAAAGCGTTTCCAAATACTAGTTGATACTAGTTACCAGTGGCAAAGATGCGGGACTCCATCTTCTGTTTTCAAGTGCTCAGAATATCTTGTTAGCTATCCTGTGAAGCAAAATTCTAGATGAAGGGGCCTTGGCCTGATCCAGAAAAAACTATTCTTATATTTTATAAACATTTGGCATCGTTCTGTACATGAGATATAGAGGAGGCTGTAGCGAGATTACTTAATATTTCAACAAATGTGGGTTTGGCAGCCTTGTAGAATATGCATTAAAAATGTTATTTTGCAAATGAAAGAGGAACCATTGGTGTATTATTGTTTGCCTGGCAATCATCTCTTCTAGGTAAGATTACAGCTGGATTGAGCTTCTTGTTTTGTAGATTTTTTTTAAAAAGGTGATAGAAATAGTGCAGTCTCCTTACTCAATAAGCCAGAAAGACCCAAATTGGCTAGTGCAGGGGGGGTCTCCAAACTCGGCCACTTTTAAGACTTGTGGACTTCAACTCCCAGAATTCCCCAGCCAGCTGAAATACGTTCACTGCAGCAAACAGATTAAAAACACTCTTCGTTTTGCTTTCCGAATCTTTGGTCTTTGTCGATACATTAGCATTAGCCCGGGGGGGGGTGTCTCCAAAGTGGCTGGGGAATTCTGGTAGTTGATGTCCACAAGTCTTAAAGTTGCCAAGTTTGGAGAGCCCTGGGCTAATGTTGTATCGGCAAGGACCAAAGATTTAGAAAGAAAGCAAATTTAAAGTGTTTTTAATCCGTTGCTTCAGTGACCATATTTCAATGGCAACATCGTCATTCTTGATTTTTACCTCCGGTTTTACCCTGTTTTCCAGTGTAAAGCGGAGGACCAGAATATCTGGTCCAAACATTCAAATTTGAGCTGGAACCCAGAAAAGGAGAAGAATATTCTCAGTGATAATGACTGTGTGATAATATAATAATATTGTAAACCGCTCAGAGTTACCTTGCAGTAAGATGGGTAGCCAATGAATTTAATAAATAAAATAAATAAGCATTGGGGAGAACTGCAAAAATATATATATATAAACATGATGAAAAAGTACAGGCAACCCGTTTTGCTATTTAAAAGATAAATTTTCGAAGAGTTGTGAAGGAGAACTGCAATTTGAACCTAAAGCACTTGGTTGGCTAGTTTGACAATATTTTCCATATTTTTCATACCTGGAATAATCAATCTCCGGATCAGTAATCTTATGGGAAGTGCCTTCTATTTTAAAACTTACGAAGAGCCGATGAAAATTCAGTAGTCTGTTGCTAAGATACAAGCTGCAGTGAGTAAGCCAGCCTAAATTCAGTTTTTCCTAAACAATGTGAGCGCCAATAGTCCTGATCAAAGTAGGAGAAGCTGTTGTTATAAAATCTACCCTGTGAAAATTGGAGAAACCCAACAGATGGACTCAAGAGTTAGTGTTCCTGTGTGTTTCTAAAAGTTGAAGGAGTCTTACTTGATTTGAAGTTTCCAGTTGTAATACACTTCCATTCTGGGGTCTGTTGAGTATTATGCAACCACGACCTAATACTACGGATTTATGACATTTTTATGTTGACAGTTTTTGCATTGTTTGGATATAAACTGTTGGAAGACTGTTGTTGTTTTTAGTTGCGAAGTTGTGTCATTTTTGTAATTATTTGGGATTTCTTTAAATAATATATAGCATTACACATTTGTTGTTAGTTGCAAAGTCGTGTCCGATCCATCGCGACCCCATGGACAACATTCCTCCAGGCCTTCCTGTCCTCTACCATCCTCCGGAGTCCATTTAAGCTCACGCCTACTGCTTCAGTGACTCCATCCAGCCACCTCGTTCTCTGCTGTCCCCTTCTTCTTTTGCCCTCCATCGTTCCCAGCATTAGGCTCTTCTCCAGGGAGTCCTTCCTTCTCATTAGGTGGCCAAAGTATTTGAGTTTCATCTTCAGGATCTGGCCTTCGAAAGAGCCGTCAGGGATGATCTCCTCTAGGACTGACCGGTTGGATCGCCTTGCAGTCCAAGGGCCTCGCAGGAGTCTTCTCCAGCACCAGAGTTCAAAGGCCTCCATTCTTTGGCGCTCAGCCTTCCTTATGGTCCAACTTTTACAGCCATCCATTGTAATTGGGAAAACCATCGCCTTGACTATATGCACTTTTGTTGGCAGGGTGATGTCTCTGCTTTTTAGTATGTTGTCTAGATTTGCCATAGCTTTCCTCCCCAGGGGCAAGCGTCTTTTAATTTCTTGGCTGCAGTCCCTATGTGCGGTGATCTTGGAGCCCAGGAAAATAAAATCTGTCACTACCTCCATTTCCACTACTTCCATATAGCCTTGACTATACGCCCTTTTGTTGGCAGGGTGATGTCTCTGCTTTTTAGTATGTGTTAAACCACTAGAGTTGCATAAAAGATTTTTTTTCCTGCGACAATATAAGGCTGCATTTTGTAAACATTTTCAAGTGTGACTATTTCTCTTAAAACATCTTTGGCAGGCATCAGAAGAGGCCTCGCTCCGAGCCTTGGAGAGCCTGATGACGGAGTTTTTCCACAACTGCACTACGAACGAGAGAAAGCGTGAAATCGGTAAGCCGACCTCTTTTCCCATTTTCTCCCAAGTTTTGCCTCAGATTTCAGAATTATGGCAACTTTGTTTTGTTCTGGTGTCTGCTCTCATAAGCCCCTTTGAGCACAGCAAGTTGAAGTTGCACGCTTCCAAAATATTCCACATTTTTTTCCTCCCTTTTTTAAAGATGTTTTTCTTCTCTCTCTCTCTCTCTCTCTCTCTCTCTCTCTCTCTCTCTCTCTCTCTCTCTCTCTCTCTCTTAAAAAAAATGCAATAATCTGCCAGATTGTTTGAAAAGACTTTCTGTGCCAGAGAACCTTAATTAGCTACAGGGCAATTATTGGGGGGCAGTCACCAGGTAGAAGGTTGATGAAAGTGGGATATGAATTACCATAGTTTCCGAACTATAAGACGCGCATCAAGATTTCGAAAACAAGAAAAAAATTTTTTTTCCTTCCCCGGCCCCCAGGAGCATTTTGCAGGCCTCCTAAACCCTCTGAGCATCCAGTTTTTGCAAAAAACGGGCCCTTTTTTGCAAAAATAAGATGCGCAGAGGGTTTGAGAGGCCTGCAGAGAGCTCCTGGGGGCTGGGGAGGGCAAAAACGCAACATGTGGGGGGTTGGGAGGCCAAAAACAGGCCTGTTTTTCACAAAAACGGGGCCTGCAGAGGGTTTGAGAGGCCTGCAGAGAGCTTCCAGGGGCTGGGGAGGGCAAAAACGCGACATGGGGGGGTTGTGAGGCCAAAAATGGGCCCGTTTTTCACAAAAACAAGAGCATTTTTGCCCTCCCCAGTCCCCAGGAGCTCTCTGCAGGCCTCCCAAACCCTCTGCAGGCCCCGTTTTTGCAAAAAATGGGCCTGTTTTTGCAGAAAACTGGACGTGTGGGGTGGGATTTCAGGAGGCCAAAAATGGCTGCATTCGGTGTATAAGAGGCCTCAACATTTCCACCCTCTTTTTTTGGGGGGGGTGGAATGCATCTTATACAGCATATAAGTACAGTACAATACAATGGAATGTTATTCACTCCGTTACTTTTGATGAATAGAGCAGGAGTGGGTTTAGAAGTACATTGAAAACCACCAAACCCTGGGGAACCGACCTTAGATCAACCAAGACTTTTTATCCCAGTGGTTCAAAGGAAAAGCCAGTTTTTAAAGCATTTCAACATCAGCAGGTTAAAAATAAGTTTAAAGTCCTGTGGGTTAGGGTCACATCAGTCATTCTTTTTATAAGCTCAAGTAGTCTTCGGCTGCAGCTTTTAGAACCTCTGATCGATAGTAACTTGAATGTAAATAATGGTATAAATAGCTCAGGGCCAGGCCTTCTGGCTTTTCTCCTAAAACAAGAGGGATATAGAAATGGCTTTCTCCTGTGCAGTCCCTCTTTTTGTTCTAAATCCTAATGCAGGTTTGATTTTGATTTTGCTTTATTTGCCTATCCAGAGGAGCTTCTGAATAACTTCGCTCAGCAGGTCGGTGCCTGGAGATTCTGCCTCTATTTCCTGTCGAGCACGAGAAATGATTATGTCATGATGTACAGTTTAACAGTATTTGAGGTGAGCTACCAAACTGGGCTAACCATGCTCGTAACATGCTCTTTATAACACCGGGGCCCAACCTTTGTGGCGTGGTGGCCCTGCTGGCAGGATGGGGGGGGCGAGTGGCAGGGGTGGGCTTCAAAAATTTTAGCAAGGGGTTGATGTGGCCATGGTGGGCGTGGCCTAGCCGGCCTCCTGCACCATGGCGCGGGGGCGTTTTTGCCCTCCCCGGGCTCCGGAGGCCCTCTGGAGGCCAGAAACGGGCCTGTTTCCGGCCTTCCCGAACTTCCAGTAGGCCCGTTTCCCCACCCCGAGCCTCCCCACACATCCTGCATTTACCTGCATCGAAAACGGTCTGCGTGGGGACTCCTGAGAGGCGAGGGGCTGGGTGGGCCAGCCAGGAGTGGGATTTGGGGGTTGTCCGAACTGCACAGAATCTTAGCTAGATTAGCTCCCGAACCCCTGCGAACCCCCAGCAGCCCATCCCTGGGAAGTGGGCCACGCGAGTGGCAGGCTGGTCGGCAAGCACAGCTCGACTTGCGCGAGTGGTGGGTCGGCGCACATACGCACAAGTCCTGCCCCGTCGCTCGTGCAAGTTGAGTTGCACACATGCATGTGCTCCAGTCAGCCACTCGTATGGCCCAATTCCGGATAGGCCATTGGTCCAGTAATGGGCTGCGGGATCAGGATTTAACAGACATCTCTTCACCCCATGTGGTCCATTAAATGAATATTTCATTCCTTTGCGCTGGTACTGGTACTTTGTTCCAGAATCTGTACTTGGGTTGCAGAAACATGTATTGGAGGGGGAACCAAGAAACGTTGCACCCTAACAAATTATTCAATCTGTTTCACTCAAAAGCAATTCATAAAAAAAGCAAGAGGGTTGAATGTTTTTGTGTGGGTGGTGAAAGCTATAAAACGAAGCATATAAAGTTGTCAATTTTAAAAGAAGTCAAGCTCTTTATGGCAGAGAAAGTATTTTATTTTATTTTTTTATGTATAATTCTGAGTTAGAGTTATTTTTTTTTCAAGCATGAATCAAATGGATCAAAATGAGATTAAATTAGTCTCAATAGTTAACCTATTTCTCTATTCTCCTGCAATCCTAGTATTAGTTACTGGCATGAATTAGTAGAGGTTTAGTTCCTTCTTGTGAACGAGAACTCACCTCTTAATTGTAAATAAATGCTTTCCCACTGAATTCAATTAGCAAATAAACAAAAACAGCTTTCCAAATAGCACCTATTTTAAAAGTTGGTATTTTTAGCAAGCTAACTTCTATATTTAATACCTTGAATATCAGCTGTAGACTTAAGCAAAGAAGGTTATGTGTCAACCTGGTTCATCATCATAATGTCTGTCTGTTTCAGAACCTGATTAACAAGATGTGGCTTGGGGTCCCATCTCAGGATAAAACGGAGGTTCGCAGTTGCCTGCCAAAACTTCTTTTAGCTCACCATAAAACTTTGCCTTACTTCATCCGAAACAAACTTTGTAAGGTCATTGTGGATATTGGCCGGCAAGACTGGCCCATGTTTTATCATGACTTCTTCACAAATATTTTACAGGTAAGGTTAGAAGCTAACTCTGTTGTTCAGAAACAAAAGTCATCTTAAGTGTGGTCCATTCTTATGCTGGTGCCTTCAAGTCAGTCCTGACGCCTGAATTTCAGAAGTGGTTTGCCATTGCCTGCTTCCTAGGGCTGAGAGAGAGAGGCTGGCCTGTGGCTTTGTGTCTAAGGTGGGACTAGAATCCATAGCTTCCTGGTTGCTTGCCTGATATCTTAATCACTGCAATGTAATCCTCGCTTACCAACCATTTGTTCATCGACCGTTCGAAGTTATAACAGCACTGAAAAAAAGAGACTCGTGACTAGTCCTCGAATTTCCACCTCCCAGCACTGCCCATAGTCACGTAACCACGATCTGGACATTTGCAACCGTCTTACCTTACCTGGGGTCACATGATCGCCATTTGCAACCTTCTCTGCTGGCTTCCCATGAGCAGAGTCAATTGGAAGCTGATAGGGAAGATCACAAGTCTTCCACTTTCCCCCATCTGGCAGTAGCTATCCCTGGTGCCGCCATGCTGGCACCATACCTTGCCTGCCAGCCTGTTTATAAGCTGCCTAGAACTCATTTTAAGGGCCCACAGTACTTGCTTAATGGCGCCAATGTGGATTGCTGTTGCTAAGCGATGCAGGTATGTGACAGTGTGCTTTACAACTACACAACTTACTTAGCTACAGAAATTCAAGTCCTAATGAGCATCATTAACTGAGGATGGCCTATACACCAGACTAGTTCTCTATTCTAAATATATTGATTCTGCGGGTAGCTTTCCAAAGAAAGGGATGGATGGATGGACGTGTTATGGTCCGCCAGCAGCCTGCGGAGCTGGCAGCAGAATCGGACAGTGAGGAGGCTGGGGAGGAACATGGGCCAGTCCTGGAGTCTGGGGAAGGCTCGGACGAGGGCTCTGTGTCGGAGGCAGAGATGGGGCCAGGGCCATCTGGGAATCATGTGCGGACTCCGGAGCCTCCAGAGTTGGACATCAGAGAGGCAAAGGACAGGAGGAGCCTGTTCCTAGTGTGCGCATGCGCAGATCTGCCAGAAGGCAAGAACAGTTAAAACTAAAGGGACAACTCAGGAGTAAGGCTTGGAGATGATTGGCCCCTCCCATAAGATATAAAGGAAGAGCAAAGGCACACGGATCTTTGCAGGAAGCAACGTTGTGGATGATGTCGGTTTGTACTTTGAAGCTCCGTTTTTGACTATGTGTTTCCATGTGACCTTGCTAAGATAATTGCCAATTAGGTCTTTGGCAGCGTGTCAAAGAAGATAAAGGTGGGTGTTTACCAGCCTTATCTGAAGGACTGTGGCAGACTTCTGTTGGACTATTTATCAACTCTTGGCAATTCAGCACGTGCTGTGAATGAAAGGAATTCACAGCCATTAAAATCAAAAAAAGGGTTTTTGGGACTAATTGTGTGCTTTTCACTATATCAGGAAGCCTAGGTCAGAACAGGGCGGACAGATGGGTGGTGCGTATATGGAGGGATGGACAGATAGACAAATAAGAGAAAGCTGTTCATGCTAAAAACCCATTCTCTTTAATAGTTAATCCAGTCCCCAGTGACAACTCCACTTGGGCTGATCATGCTGAAGACCACATCCGAAGAGCTGGCCTGCCCACGGGAGGACCTCAGCATCGCACGGAAGGAGGAGCTGCGGAAGCTGCTCCTGGAGCAGGTTCAGAATGTCCTTGGACTTCTCACAGGTTAGTGAGACAGGAAAACCCAGGTTGTACTGCAAGCTGACAAGGGAAGCTGGCAATATTCCCTTTTGAATGGCTGCCAAAGCACCTTTAATTTAATTTTATTTATTTATGTACGTATTTGTTAAATTCATTTGCATCCTACCTTGCCATGGGTCTACTCTTAGAGTTGGGGACTCTAAGCCAGGAGTCCCTAATCTCTGGGTCGTGGACCAGCACTGCTCTGCGGCATCCCAGCAACCGGGCCGTGCAAGGCCCCATCGCAGCTTTAAGATGTGGGGAGTTCAACTCCCAGAATTTCCAGGCCAGCCATGAAATATTAAGTGGGAGTTTTTAAATATTGAGACGTTGGAACTAAAGAGGTATACTGAGTAATTTTTCTTAAATTGTTATAAAATGGATCTACAGGGGATAATAAGAGGCGAATGAAGAAATAATTTTAATGCTCAAAAACGTGCATCAAACGATAAAGAACAATGAGGAGACAAGGGGATTGTCTAAAGAAATGATCAGAGGTGCAAATATGAGCGTGCACCACCTCTGCGCATGCGCACGGCTTTCTGTGCATGCAAGTAGTCGCGCATTACATCCGGGCGGGTGGGCGGAGCCTCCCACAGTCGCCGCTACCTGTTCACGCGATCCGGAGAGAACCAGCTGAATCCCACCACTGGAAATGAATGTAGAAACTACTCAACAATTGGGGGTGGAATGACAAACATGATATTTGGAATGGAATGGAATGGAATAGAATTCTTTATTGGCCAGGTATGATTGGACACACAAGGAATTTGTCTTTAGTGCATATGCTCTCAGTGTACATAAAAAAAAAGATACATTCCTCAAGAATCATAAAGTACAACACTTAATGATAGTCATAGGGTACAAATAAGCAATCAAATTATACTAGGAAACAATCAATATAAATCGTAAGGATACCAGCAACAAGGTTACAGCCATGCAGTCATAAGTGGGAGGAGATGGGTGATAGGAACGATGGCAAGACTAATAGTAGTAATTGTGCAGACTTAATGAATAGTTTGACAGTGTTGAGGGAATTATTTTTTAGCAGAGTGATGGCGTTCGGGAAAAAATTGTTCTTGTGTCTAGTTGTCTTGGTGTGCAGTGCTCTATAGCGGTAGGAGTTGAAATCAGGAAATAGATGAGAAATTCGAAGAAGAAGTGGAAGGGAAGTATTTCTTTTTTTTTAATGGCATAGTTTCACTATGTCTTTGAAGTCTTAATACTGTAAAATAAGATTTTCCCACACTGTACATTATTTTAAATGCCTCTTGTTATGTTTCCCCATCAATCTCTTCTTCCCCCCCCCCCCCCCCATGAAACAAAAACAGTGTTAGGATCTCAAGAGAGTACAAAGTAGACACATTATTTTTAACAGTCGGCTGACTCAAATCCGAACCCTAAATAACCTCACATTTGTTGCCAAAATAACCCTCTTCATTATCAGTTTTATTTCTGGAAATCCTGCTGTCTCTTAAGACCTCCTACCCGTTTTTTTGTTTTCTGCTAAGAAAGAGATGTTATCAGCGTTCTCTCCTTCGGCATTCTCATGGTTTTTTTTTTTTCAAAAATACAGTCAGGAATCTGGCCCTGATTGACAGGTAAAGAGACCATGACACACAGAGCGCGTGGCATCAACGCTTGAGGTTAAACCATGTTCTCAAATTCCCCGAATTCCACTGAAATAACAAACTTGTTAACTGAGGCTCGGCACTGAATGTGTGAACAAATTTGCAGCTGCTGAGACTTTGCTCTTCTTTTGTGACAGGTATTTTGGAGAGCATTTGGGATAAATACAGTGTTACGGCTGCCACCCCACCACCATCTCCGACGTCCAGAGAAAGTGGTAAAAATCTTTGCTTCTCCTTCTGTTCGTTGTCCATACCAGGTAGTCCTCGACCTTACAACCATTTGCTTAGTGGCCATTCGAAATTACATCCGCACTGAAGAAAGGGACTTATGACCGGTCCTCGCACTTGCAACGGTCACACAGTTAACATTATCACAATTTGGGTGTTTGGCAACCAGCATGTATTTACAAAGTTTGCAGCATCCCGGAATTACGTGATCTCCCCATTGGTGACCTTTCCAGCCAGCTTCCTACAAGCAAAGTCAATGGGGGAAGACGGGTTCGCTTAATGATCGCATGATCCGCTTAACAACCGGGGCAAAAATGGTGGTAAAATTAGGCACGGCATGCTTAACAACGACCTTGCTTAACAGTGGAAATTCCGGTCCCCCTTGTAGTTGTAAGTCAAGGACTGCCTGTAATTCTTAGTGACACCTACATCATCATTATCATCATCTTCATTTAACGACCCCATAATCCCTTGCGGGGTAGCAGTCTGGGCAACTGAATGGAGCTAGCAGAGTGTTTTAATGGCCGGATGCTCTTCCTGTCACCAATGCGGAGTTTTGTTCAGCAGATATATTCTTGGTGTGCCCAGAGAGAGAAATATCACTCCTCTTAATGACACCCATGTCTTTGGGGGGTGGAGAGTCAGTATCTGGGTCTAGGGAAGGAAGACAAGATGGTTTCTATACAACAAAATTTGAACGTTGTACAGAAATGGCTGTGGTGTAGCTTATTTTGACGATGTTGTTGCTATAGGGATAACAGTGACGGTAGGTTGTGGTGATTTGGTTGTGGTGGATTTGTGATGTATCCCAGGGCTTCTGGCCCTTACGAATTAGTGTTTTTCAACCTTGGCAGCTTTCAGATGTGTTGCTGGCTGGGGAATTCTGGAAGTTGAAGTCCACACATCTTCCAAGTTGCCAAGGTTGAGAAACTCTGCATTAGGGAGCCACATTGCAAGTTTGCTACTTGTCCGAGCAAACTTTCTGATGACTTCCACTGCCTGGCCTCTTTCTCGACAGACAGAGCAGTTCATCAGGCTGAGAAGCCTAAACCAGGGTACCATAATTCACGCTAATTAAAGCCATCCTACGAAATGGCAACGGCTTGCTGTCTCATTAGCACAGATTGCTCCTCACACGGACAGCCAGCGCAGGCTGTCAATTCATTAAAAAAAAGTAGGGCTCCTGCCCGATATTGGCTGCCCAGTTTTAATTAGGGGAGATCAGAAGCTCACTTCAGAAACATGAGATGGGGGGATGATTAAGCTGGTAACCCCGAAGGTCCTCTTCTGAATGACTTATTTCAAGAGCAAGTCAGCAGGATTTTCTGTCTATTCCACTAGGCTGCTGGGGTAAAAAAAAAAAAAAAGGATTCAGGGATACTTCGGCCTATGATTCTAATTAGGGATGTCAAACTCAAGGCCCACAGGGGCCAGATCCGGCCCATGGGGTGCTTAGATCTGGCCCCGGGGGACCACCCTGGAAACAGTGAAGGACTGGCCCGTGGTTCCTCTGCCAGCGAAAACGGAGCTCGGGAGGGCTGCGGGCGGCCCTCCCGACCTCCGTTTTCGCTGGTAGAGGGCTGCAGGAGGCCGTCGCAGCCGAAAATGGAGCTCGGGAATCCGTTTTTGCCGGCAAAGTCCCCCTCCCCCCCCCCCCCATCAGAGTTTCTTGCAAAAATCAAATCCAGAAGCACACACAGATAACTGATTCAACAGGATTCATAAACTTCTTTATATACATAATAACAGATGAAATAAATTTTATAATACCAATAGTTGATTCTTCAACGTGGTAGAAAGTTACAGGCGGAACACAAGGCAGGACAGGACAGTTAGTTTCATTTCAGCAGAGCAGACAAGCTCAAACAGACAAGTTCAGTTTAGTTTCATTTTAGATCTGAGCACAGAGCAGGCAAGCAAGTCCAGACTTGTTTAGTTTCTGTTTCAGACCTTCTGCACAGACTCAGTTGCCTAAGCCACGCCCAGACTTCTTCCTTAAGTTTCTATTTCCAAATAAGCCTCATTGCTGACCTGTTACCATGCCTTCCCATTGGCTGATCTATTCCAGTCCATGAATATTCATACTCTTACCTCCCCCGCCCGACATGAGTCACGTCGAGCTGGCCACGCCCATCCTGGCCCCCCAAGGTCAATCACAACCCTGATGCAGCCCTCAATGAAACCGAGTTTGACACCCCTGCTCTAGTGGATCCTGCCAGGGGTGGGTTCTACTTACCTTTACTACCGGTTTGCAGTGGGGCCACACGCGGGTGCGCTCTTCTGCACAAGTACAGAAGCTTCTGTGCATGCACAGAAGCATTTTGATGATGTCGGGGTCAGTGGGCAGAGCCTCCCGCCGGTTTTACTACCAGTTCTATAGAACCGGTGCGAACCGGGGGCAACCCACCACTGGATCCTGCCTATTATGACCTCATGTCATGGACGTTTGTTAAGTGAGATTGAGTCACTTAAATCATCTCCATCCCACTGCTCTCCCTGGTACTGTCATTAAGCAGTGCACAAAGTGCCTTGGGTGAAGGAAGCCTAGTGCAGGCACTAGCACACCTGCCCCAAACCTTCCAAGGCTTCTCTCACCCCCAGTGACACGCCCTGTTCGGTTTCCCACCCCTTGGGGACTCCACAGAACCTGGGCCTGTTTCGCCCCTCATTGAATCGCCACAGTCCTTGGTCATAAGTAGCTTTTGGAGGGCTGTCATAACTTTAAACAGTCGCTAAGTGACCGTTCATAAGTCGAGGGCTACCTGCATAGTCTGGGAATTGAAGTCCGTACATCTGACAGTTGCCAAGGTTGAGAAACGCCTTGAAGAGACGTGGTGGCGCAGTGGTTAGAATGCAGTAATTGCAGGCTGACTCTGCATACTGCCAGCAGTTCGATTCTCACCGGCTCAAGGTTGACTCAGCCTTCCATCCTTTTGAGGTGGGTAAAATGAGGACCCAGATTGTTGGGGACGAGGCTGACTTTGTAAACCACTTAGAGAGGGTTGTAAAGCACTGTAAAACGATATATAAGTCTAAGTGCTGCTGCTATTGCTGTAGTTGATTGGATGTTGCATTAGGAGCCCTGGTGCCGCAGTTGTTAGATTGTGGTATTGCAGGCTGACTCTGCCCGCAGTCTGGAGTTCAATTCTGACTGGCTAAAGATTGACCCATCCTTCCATCCTTCCGAGGTGGGTAAAATGAGGACCCAGATTGTTGGGGGCCATGGGGTAATTCTGTAAACCGCTGTAAAGCACTGTGAAGCTATATGTAAGTCTTCAGTGCTATTGCTATATTGTTGGCAAATCTTAGCATGACCGGACTTAACTTGTACGCGTGTGCTTTTTCCTGTACAGGCGATCTCTTGAGTAGCCTATTGCAGAGTCCCAGTGTGGCCAAATTACTGAACCAGCCAATCCCCGTCCTTGACTCAGAGAGCGAATACGTTTGCTCCCTGGCTTTGGAGTGCCTAGCCCACCTCTTCAGCTGGATCCCTCTGTCGACCAGTATCACCCCATCCCTCCTCACCACCATCTTCCATTTCGCCCGCTTCGGCTGCGACACCCGCGGCAGGAAGATGTCCTCCATCAACGGCAGCAGCCAGAACGCCTCCTTGAGTCACGAGCGTGGCCAGCTGGGCGTGCTGGCCATGTCTTGCATCAACGAACTCATGTCAAAGAACTGTGTGCCTGTGGAATTCGAGGAGTACTTACTCCGGATGTTCCAGCAGACCTTCTACCTCCTCCAGAAGATCACCAAGGAGAACAACGCCCATTCGGTGAAGAGCCGGCTAGAACAGCTGGACGAGAGGTAAGGCTGGGCGAAATCAAGCCAACCGCTCTTCTAGTTTAATTTCAAGATGACTTTTGCCGATGACTTGTTATGCATGGTGTGTCTAATCGCCTTTTTTCAGAGTCCCAGGACGGAGGCGGGGAAAACAGCCAGGTAAGTGTGACCCAGGTACGTGGCCGTGGGGCGGTCAACTTTGGCAGAAACGAGTTTGTGGTGGCGTAGGAGTTGTGTTTCTTCTCCCACCCCCCACCCCCCTTCAAACCTCCCCCATTCGTTACAGTTTGGCTGCAGGTCTGAGGTGGTCCAAGATCTCAATTTGCTTCCATTCGGTTGTTGCTGTAAGCAGCCGAAGAGACGCGGTGAGGTAAAGGGATATTGGTGGTTTTCTGGTTGGCAAGGAAGGGGTGGATGGGCTCGGTTTGGAGGGAAGAGAAGAGGCCTTAGGAAGGTGTTTTTCTCCAAATTGGGTAGTCTCCTGAGGCAGAGGTGGTCTTCAGCAGGTTCTGACCAGTTCTGGAGAACCAGTAGCGGAAATTTTGAGTAGTTCGGAGAACCGGTAAATACCACTCTGACTGGCCCCGCCCCCATCTATTCTCTGCCTCCCAAGTCCCAGCTGATCGGGAGGGAATGGGGATTTTGCAGTATCCTTCCCCTGGAGTGGGGAGGGAATGGAGATTTTACTGTATCCTTCCCCTGCCACGCCCACCGAGCCACGTCCACAGAACCGGTAGTAAAAAAATTTGAATCCCACCACTATCCTGAGGGCTGCATTGGCTAAGGGCGGCGGGAGATGCGGTCAGTTCTTCTCCAGGACAGCCTCTTGGAGAAAGTGAGGGCAGAATTTTAGTGTTGTTTTTTTTTTCTTTCTTTTCAAAGCATTGTAGGAACAACTTCAGGTAGGGCAGTAGCTGGAATGAATTTAGCTGCTTGGAAATAAATTACGTCAGAAAAGCATTCCAAAAGCAGAGTCTGTTGTTTATTTCTGATTTCCTTCTGGAGTGGTGCGGTAGCCTAGAGGTGACGCTCTCGCCTGACAATCAGGAGACTGTGAGTTCGATCCTAAGTAGAGGCAGATATTTCTCTTTTCTGGGCACAATGAGTATATATCTGCTGAACAAAACTCCTCATTGGCAACAGGAAGGGCATCTGGCCAGTAAATACTCAGCTCCATTCCTTGCCCTGCAAGGGATTATGGGGTTGTTAAAAGAGGATGATGATTTCTGGTTTCCTTCTCCTTGCCAATGCCTTTTTTGACCAGATTCAGCCTGGATTTCGGTTTTTTTTTGTTTGCAGACTCCATCCAAAAAGCCTCCGGGCTTGTTTTGACAGCCGTTGAAGAAAGGGCCTAAAGCACAAAGGGAACATTTTAGGTTTTGGCAAGCGTTGTTGAAATGGAGGTTGGCAGGAGCGGTTACAGAATGCAGCCCTCGCATTTTACTGCTGATCTGCTGGGCATCCCATTCAGTTGTAGCTGGCAGGAAAATTTCTGCCTGCAGTCAAATGTCGCTGGAATGTCGCTTTCTTTTTTTTTAAAAAAATGAAACAAACCAAAAACTCTTAGAAAGAAGCTGGTGTAGACTGTCGAGAGGGAGATTTTTCTTTAATATATGCGAGTGACTTGAGGACACCAGTCGGATCTTAACGATACCCAGTTAATCTCTCATCAGTTCTCATCTCTGGACCAGTGTTTCTCAACCTTGGCCGTTTTGAGATCTGTGGATATCAAGTCCCAGAATTCCACAGACAACTATGCTACTATGGAATTCTGGGAACTGAAGTCCAGATGCCCTGGAAATTGAAGTCCAGAAACACTTTTCTGGACCTTCTAGACCAGTGTTTCTCAACCTTGGAAGCTTGAAGATGGGTGGACTTCAACTCCCAGAATCCCCCAGCCAGCAACACTGGCTGGGGGATTCTGGGAGTTGAAGTCCACCCATCTTCAAGCTTCCAAGGTGAGAAACACTGTTCTAGACCCATGGCTGGTGTGGAATTCTGGGAGTTGAAGTCCACACATCTCAAAATGGCCAAGGTTAAGAAACACTGCGCTGGACCTTCTAACCTCTGGACTCCTATTTGATCTCTTCACGCCATATTTCTTTTCTAGAATTCTTTCCTAATCCAAAGAAGGGTGGGCTGATATTGAGTGAAATCTCTGTTAAACTTGGATGGTTGCCCTAGCAACTACAGCTGCTGTGGATTGGCTGAAGGGAGTGCTAAATTGGGAGGAAAAACAGGATGAGATTAAACCTTTCAAAAGCTGGTTGAAGTCTTCAAGCTGAGACTTTCTTCCCCATCTCCCTTGCTTGCTTTGCAAAATCCCACCAATTCCTTCCTTCATATTACCAGCAGCCCTTCTCTTCTTCCCTTCTGATGCAGGTGGTACAATCTGAAAGCTAGTGCAGTCAGGAGTTCTTAAGAGTCGCAAGTCAGACAGTCCTGGTTTAAGGTCAGGATCTCAGCCCTGATTTAAAATTGGATCTCAGTTATGGTCCTTGTATGAGCCCTAGAGTTATTGGAGGATTTTTAGAATAGAATAGAATAGAATAGAATAGAATAGAATAGAATAGAATAGAATAGAATAGAATAGAATAGAATAGAATAGAATAGAATAGAATAGAATAGAATAGAATAGAATAGAATAGAATAGAATAGAATAGAATAGAATTCTTTATTGGTCAAGTGTGATTGGACACACAAGGAATTTGTCTTTGGTGCATATGATCTCAGTCTACATAAAGAAAAAATAAAATATATTCGTCAAGGATTATAAGATACAACACTTAGTGATAGCCAAGTTTACTAATAAGCTATCAAACTGAACTAGGAAACAAATAAAACAATATAAATTGAAAGATACAAGCAAGATGGTTATAGTAATAAGTGGGAAGAGATAGATACTAGTAAGGAAGAGAAGAATAATAGTAATACAGTCTTAGTAAATTATTTGATAATGTTGTGGGAATTATTTGTTTAGCAGAGTGATGGCGTTCGGGAAAAAACTGTTCTTGTGTCTAGTTGTTCTGGTGTGCAGTGCTCTATAGCGTCGTTTTGAGGGTAGGAGTTGAAACAGTTTATGTCCAGGATGCGAGGGGTCTGTAAATATTTTCGCAGCCCTCTTTTTGACCCGTGCAGTATACAGGTCCTCAATGGAAGGCAGGTTGGTAGCCATTGTTTTTTCTGCAGTCCTAATTATCCTCTGAAGTCTGTGTCTGTCTTGCTGGGACAGAACCAAACCAGACAGTTATGGAGGTGCAGATGACAGACTCAATAACTCCTCTGTAGAACTGAATCAGCAGCTCTTGGGGCAAAACAAGAACTGAGGTTAGAATTTTTTGGAGGATGTACAGAGAGAAGCATCTGAAAAGTCTTGAAAGGTGGGGGGGGGGGGAAATGCAACCGGAGCTATAGATGGCCCGTCAGCATTTCTCTTGCACCCCATACCTTTTTCATGGGTGATTTTCTTTGCCATTTGGGGGATGTGAGCGACAAAATGCATGCTTTTAAGCTTGGCAGGGGCCTAGGACAATCATTTCTCTCCCGAGAACTCCCCAACCTGTACAAAACAGGTTGTTGGCTCCTCCTCTGATAGAAATTGTATAAAGTATTACTTTCTTCAATATCAAATAAATGCACATTTATGATGATCGTGTCTAGCTTTGGAAAAGTGAAAATATGGGAATTGCTAAAAAAAAAAAAGTTTTACATTGTGACACCTTTAAATTTGGTGAGTGGAGTGAACATAGCTGAAAACCTTGAAGCTGTATTGTATGTTTTGTTTTGGTTTTTTTTTTTTTTTGCGTATTTCCTTTGCATAACCAGAATTTTCAGACTTGGCAGTTTTTATAAAGACCTGATAGGCCATTAGTTCTGCTTACAGATGGGGGATCAGACTGAATGAATGTTTGGGATGACAGCTTCATGTTTTCATTACCTCAGCGTTGTATTATTCTAACAGTTGGTTGGCTTTATGAAAGAAGACCCAGTATTTAGAGAATTATTTATGTCACAGGTTTTTTTTACTTTGAAAAGAAGGCTGTATACGCTCATGCTTAATGTCACACAATATCTAGACTAGCGTTCTGTTGGGAACTCTTAAGTTTGTTAGAAGGAAATCAATATCACGGCTTTCAACCTGCCCTCTGTTCAGGGTAGAAACTTCTGTTGGCAGCCAGCGGTGTTGTGGTCCGCCAGCAGCCTGAGGAGCTGGCAGCGGAGTCGGACAGTGAGGAGGCTGGGGAGGAACATGGGACAGTCCTGGAGTCTGGGGAAGGCCCGGATGAGGGCTCTGTGTCGGAGGCAGAGATGGGGCCAGGGCCATCTGGGAATGATGCGTGGACTCCGGAGCCCCCAGAGTCGGATAGCAGAGAGGCAGAGGAACAGGAGGAGCCTGTTCCTAGTGCACGCATGCGCAGAGCTGCCAGAAGGCAAGAGCAGCTAAAGCAAAAGGGACGATTCAGGAGTAAGGCTAGGAGATGATTGGCCCCTCCATAAGGCTTAAAAGAGAAACCGAGGCACTTGGGCCTTTTGCAGGAAAGCAATGTTGCTAACTCTGTTTCTAGTCAGCATCTTTTGTTTGTTTCTGAACTTAGTGGGGCTTTGCCAAGTAAGGCCTTTGGCAGGGTATCAAAGAAGATAAAGGTTGGTGATTATCCCGAAGGACTTCTTCCGAAGAACTTGTTTTGCTACTAATTGGGACTCAGTTGGGAATGAATGTAATTCTCAGCTGTTACAATAAAATAGGTTTGTTTGGGACTAATTGTGTCTTGTAATGACTCAGTAAGCCTAGATCACAACATGCTGTAGGTTCAAACTTGAACAGAATTCTTAACTAATCCAATTTCTCCACCCAGTATCAGCAACGGTGAAATGCTTAAACCATTAAGGGGGTTTCATTGTGGAAGCTCTTAGCAATATAAAGTTGCTTTTGAACAAGATCTTTTTCTGCTGTTTCAGGTAATAATGGAAGGAAGGGTTGCCCGCTGCATAGGTAATAACCGTAGAGCTTCCATTCAGTTGTTAAAAATGACGATGAATCTGTTTATCTTTTCAAAGAACAATCAAGTAGCTTTTAATTCGTTATTCTTTGTTGCTTTCTTAGCAATCTCCCCATTCGCTTACTGGTGTTCCTTCCTTTTTCTCTTGCAGCTACATAGAGAAGTTTACTGACTTTCTACGCCTTTTTGTGAGTGTCCACTTGAGAAGGATCGAGTCCTACTCGCAGTTCCCTGTGGTTGAATTCCTTTCACTGCTGTTCAAATACACCTTTCATCAGGTACTCCCTCCTTTGAAAAGGGCAGCTCTGTTCCCGTGTCGTGATCGCTGTCTTGCATAGAAATGTATTTCTGTGAAGGTGCAAAACTATTTTCTGTGTATTTGGGTTCAGCGGTTCTGCATGAGGAACTCTTGATTGTTTTTTTTCCTGTTTTGTTTATTAACCTTGTATTTCAAAATAGTGCCCACCTTTGATCGTCCTCTGCAAAAACCGTATGTATGTTTTCCCATCTTGGAGAAGATCTATCTATGTACAGGTAGTCCTCAACTTACAACAGTTCAAATACAACGGTCATTTAGTGACCGTTCGAAGTTATAACGGCTCTGAAAAAAGCAACTTGTGACCATTTTTCACACTTAACAACCATTGCAACATCCCCATGGTCAGGTGGTCAAAATTCAGGTGCTTGGCAACTGACTCATATTTATGTCAATTGCAGCGTCCTGAGGTCATGTGATCATTTTGGGGTGACCTTCTGACTAAGTGTGATGATCCTGACTAACAAATCCAAGCAAATCAGAACTCTGAGGCTGAGGTCTTTCTCTAAGAACTTCTTTATTGGGTACATTATATCGGCACAATCAAATGGAAAACCAACTCTAACCCCGGTTTCTGTATAATTAAAAAGAGGAAATCGCTCCCTCCCCAAAAGTCACAGATCACGTTGGCCAGTTAGGTTAATTGGTGGGCTCCCCAGGCACTCCTCCCCGTCTCTATCCACCACCTGTAGAGATGACCTTGGTTCCCACGAGAAAGCTTGGTGTTTTGTCTAGCAATGCATTTCATCCTCCTCCCCCTTCCCCCGTCTCTGTAGCAACGGAGAAATAGAAAAAAATGGCTGCTGCCAGGTTGGATTCAAAGATTGACACAAAGTCAGTGGGGAACTCAGATTCATTTAACAGCCGCGTTACTAAGTTAACAATTGCAGGGATTCCTTTAACAACCGCAGCAAGAAAAGTTGTAAAGTGGGGCAAAACTCACTTAGCCAATGTTTCACTTAGCAGCAGAAATGTTGGGCTCAATGGGGTCGTAAGTTGAGGACTACCTGTAGACACCAAGAATCAACCCTTGGCATATAATTAGTCAGAATTGCAAAAAAAGACCCAGCTCACCTGAGTAACCTGTGATGCTCGTGAAAAGTGAAAGGGAAGGAAAGAGGAAGAAAGCCAGGAACAAGACAGATGGACTTGATCAGAGTGACTATGGATGAACCATTGCAATCCCTGAAGGGCCAGGTTGGGGAAGGGTCCCTGTTGAGAATATCTAGGTAGTTGCTTAATGTTGACACTATAATGATGCCACCTAATCAGCGCAAAGACCCAGCTCTTTTCAGAAATCCATATTACTAGGAAAGTTGGAAGAAAAACAAAGAAAACGGCCAATAGCAAGGTGTAGGTACTCAATGAAAAGAGCAATGAATGTACCACCTGAGAAGCCTAAAAGGCCCAGTTGGGGACATTTTATCTTTGAGACAGTCAATCACTGTGGTTGCTAAGAGATGGCATTGACTTGATATCATGCAATCAATGCTTCAGAAATCCAATCTGTCAGCTAGAAAACCGGCAGCCCAGGTTCAAGACCCAAGCGCCACATGATGGGGCGAGTTCCCATCCTCACCTCAGCTCCTGCCAACCTAGCAGCTTGAAAGCATGCAAATGCGAGTAGATAAATAGGTACCACATCGGTGGGAAGGTAACAGTGCTCCGTGATGTCATCTTGGCCACATGATTGCGCAAATGTCTTCAAACTGCTGGCTCAAAGGCCTTGAAATGGAGATGAACACACACACTATATTTGGCAATGACTAGCGGAGTAAAATCTGCAGGGACTCCTTTACCTTTACCTAAAATTGAAGTCATAACTGATTGATTATGAACCACCAAGTCAGATTTGACTGTTAGCAGTTACCAATTTTCTCCAGGAGCGTCTCTCTCCAACTCAGGTCTTCCTAAGATGCACCCCTCACTGCTGTAATCAAACCTATAATCAGAGTCCTAGACCATTCTTCCTCAACCTTTAAGATAATGTGGACTTCGTGCTGGCTGGGGAATTCTGGGAGTTGAAGTCCACATGTCTTAAAGTTGCCACACAGTTAGACACTACTGCTTTAGAGCAATGCTCCCATTGGTTGTGGGTTGGGAAGATGGACCATTTCAACCAGCCAGGTAAAGGCGAGCTTTCCTTCCAAATATGATTCGTTGCACGACATCGTTCCCAGCATTAGGCTCTTCTCCAGGGAGTCCTTCCTTCTCATTAGGTGGCCAAAGTATTTGAGTTTCCTCTTCAGGATCTGGCCTTCTAAAGAGCAGTATTCTAACTATTTTGCCACCACGGAGCTGAGAGATGCTCCAGGTTTATTCAGAATGTGCCCCTTAAAAAGAAAACAAAACCTCTGAATAGGACAGGAAAACTTAAGTTTGTTTTTTAATGAAATGACTTACAAATGTGTCTGTTCCATCACCAGTTGTGTGGCTAAACAACCTGTTTTTCATGTGCCTTTTTCAGCCCACGCATGAAGGTTACTTTTCCTGCTTAGACATCTGGGCTCTGTTTTTGGACTATTTGACCAGTAAAATAAAGAATCGCTTGGCAGATAAAGAAGCAGTACTCAACAGGTAAGCCACCGAGTTTACTGTTCAGGTAGGGTACCAAAAAAAAAGACATGTTTTGATTATTTGACTCAGTGTTTTTTTTTGCAGTGCTATTCCCCTGTCTGTCTCCCTTGAAGGTTTCAAGGTCCTTGGCAGGGATGCTCAGAACAGTGAAGGTCTTTTAGCTATGTGCTTTGTGTTTGGACAATTACGGCCTCTAAACACAAGCATCAAGGTATCAATACCAAAGGTGTATTCTCACAGAATCTCTCTGTCATTGCTCTGTGGTACCCATCTTGCCTTCAGACATTCTGAAACATATAAGGAACAGTTGCTTGAATTGGGTATGTCTAGTTTAATGAAAAGAAGGATTAGGGGAGACATGATAGCAGTGTTCCAATATCTCAGGGGCTGCCACAAAGAAGAGGGAGTCAACCTATTCTCCAAAGCAAAACTTGCCTCCAGAAGTTGTGAATGCTCCAACACTGGAAGTTTTTAAGAAGAGATTGGATAACCATTTGTCTGAAGTGGTATAGGGTTTCCTGCCTAAGCAGGGGGTTGGACTAGAAGACCTCCAAGGTCCCTTCCAATTCTGTTATTCTATTCTATTCTATTCTATTCTATTCTATTCTATTCTATTCTATTCTAGTACAGGTGGTCCTCCACTTACAACAGTCCATTTTGTGACCGTTCAAAGTTACAACGTAAGTGACTTATGGCCATTTTTCACATTTTCAACCGTTGTAGCATCCCGACTGTCACAGGATCAAAATTCAGGTGCTTGACGGCTGACTCCCAACGGACGCCGTGTCCCGGGATCACATGATCCCCTTTTGCGACCTCCCGACAAGCAAAGTCAGCGGGGAAGCCAGATTCACTTCACAAAGTGGCTTACTAACTTTTCGCCTGCAGTGATTCACTTAACAGCTGTGGCAAAGAAAAGCCGTAAACTGTGGCAAAACTCACTTAACAAATGCCTCCCTTCACAAACAGAAATTTGGGGCTCAGTTGTGGTCGTAAATCGAGGACTGCCTGTATTATTTGCTTGGGAAAGATTGAAGCAACCATAGTCCATGCATGTGGAATTACAGTCGGCACGTGGAATTATGAGTTGTTTCACTTGAAACCACTGGTAGGAGTCAGTCTGGAATGCGCAGCATCTTAAATACATATTAAATATCCAGTAAGTGCATCCTCCAGTCCTCAAGCACTCCCTGTAGTAAGTTTGAGAACAAAAAAGCTAATGTATCAGAGGACAATGTTGTGGTCTGGCCCATTAAGCCTGGAACAATTCTTAACAGATTCTTTCAATCTGAGTTTTATAGAATAATAGAATTCTTTATTAGCCAAGTGTGATTGGACACACAAGGAATTTGTCTTGGTGCATACGCTCTCAGAGTACATAAAAGACAAGATACATTCGTCAAGAATCATAAGGTACAACACTTAATGATAGTCATAGGGTACAAATAAGCAATCAAATCATATTAGGAAACAGTCAATATAAATCGTAAGGATGCAAGCAACAAAGTTACAGTCATGCAGTCAGAAGTGGGAGGAGATGGGTGATAGGAACGATGAGAAGATTAATAGTAATGCAGACTTAGTAACTAGTTTGACAGTGTTGAGGGGATTATTTGTTTAGCAGAGTGATGGCGTTCGGGAAAAAACTGTTCTTGTGTCTAGCTGTTCTGGTGTGCAGTGCCCTATAGCATCATTTTGAGGGTAGGAGTTGAAACAATTTATGTCCAGGATGTGAGGGGTCTGTAGATATTTTCACAGCCCTCTTTTTGACTCGTGCAGTATACAGGTCCTCAGTGGAAGGCAGGTTGGTAGCCATTGTTTTTTCTGCAGTTCTAATTATCCTCTGAAGTCTGTGTCTCTCTTGTTGGGTGGCAGAGCCAAACCAGACAGTTATAGAGGTGCAGATGACAGACTCCATAATTCCTCTGTAGAACTTTATCAGTAGCTCCTTGGGCAGTTTGAGCTTACTGAGTTGGCGCAGGAAGAACATTCTCTGTCGTGCTTTTCTGATGACATTTTTGATGTTAGCTGTCCATTTTAGGTCTTGCGATATGGTAGAATCTAGAAATTTGAAGGTCTCTACTGTTGATACTGTGTTGTCTCGTATTGTAAGAGGTGGTAGAAGATGACTTCGAACGGAGCAAACCGGAGCCAGCCGAGCCAGCTGTCCCTGTAATAGCGAGGCACGAACAAGCAGAAATAAGTCTGCATTCCTATTTGTGTGAAAGAGCCTTTCTTTTGCTGTAGCTCTTCCCGCAATCATGGGAACAGGAAATGTAAAGTGAATGTTTACATGTAAATGAGAGGGCAGTTGCAACACAGGGCCAGCGTTCGAGACTTCTGCTTAGCGTAGCCACTTCACCGCTTTGTGTATTCATTAGAGTATCGTATTTGCATGATCCCGGGATCACCAAGGCTGCCAGTTGCCTTATTCGGCTCCCTGCCTGACCGGTACCATTACTATGATCCAATTCAGATCACCGTCTTATTCAGATCAAAACTCAAGACGCTTGGCAACTTGGTTCACATTTATGACAGTCGCAGTGGCCCTCAGAGTCACGTGATCCCCTCGTGGGATCTTCTGACAAGCAAAAGACAACGGGGAAGGCCAGATTCACTTAACAACTGGGTTACTCACTTATCAACTGCAGTGATTCACATACAGTAGTAGCCAAAATTGTGGAAACCTTTTGGGGAAAGTGTATTTTCTAAAACACCACCACTTTTTTTTTTTTTTTTTTTTAGTAGTACCATACAATTATATATCAATGGGAAGATAATTTAATCAAGAATGTAATGCAGTAACTTTTAGGAAGGATTTGCTCTTAGAATAGCAGTTGCAGTATAAAGAAGAAAAGTGAAACACGTAGACAAAACAAGATATACAAAAATGATCACCATGTCAGTTAATACTTAGTTGGGTAACCTTTAACATGAATAACAGCCTTACAACGTCTTCCCATGGAGCGAACCAAGTCTGTTAGTTCTGCAGCTGTTCTAATGTGAAACCAAGATTGAAAGATTGCTTCTATTAACTGGGTTTTATTGCTGGGTCGCTTCTGACTCACCAGTTTCTTTAGTCGGCTCCAGTGGTGGGTTATCCCCGGTTTGGACCGGTTTGCAAGAACCGGTAGTAAAACCGGTGGGAAGCTCCCCCACCAATCCGGATGTCGTCAGGAAGCTTCTGCGCATGCCCGTGCAGTCCCATTGCGAACCGGTAGTAAAAATAAGTAGAACCCACCCCTGATCGGCTCCATAGATTTTCAATTGGGTTAAGATCTGGGCTATTCCCAGGCCATTCCAGCAGTGGAATAGGATTATCTTGAAACTCAAAAAAAAAAAAAAGTGTTATTAGCCAGTTTCCACAATTTTAGCCAGTACTATAACAACCGTGGCAAGAAAGGTTGTAAAACAGGGCAAAACTCACTCCACAAAAGAAATTTGGGGGCTCCGTTGTGGTCGTAAATCGAGGACTGCCTGTCCTCCTAGCCCAGGAGAGAATGGCCTGAGCGTTTTTGTCCTACAGGTGTTTGTCCTACAGAAACAAGCCCCAGAGCCTGATCTATTCTCACAGGAGACGAGCGACATCGGAATAAGCTTCAAAAAGCTTCCAATCCCTGAGAATTTTTTTTCGTTTTTTTTAAAGGCTCTGGTTCACTAATGGCTTCCAGGGACCCGGTGTCCTCAGTATGGGATGAATCTCAATAAATTGGGAACTTCTCTTTGTTTTGCAAAATTCAGAGCAGGCCACGTTGCCTGCACACACACACGATGCTTTGAGGAAACCCTTCGATTAAGTTCACGAACAGAAAACGGGGTTTCGAACAAGTTGCGTTGCCGTCTACTTGGCGATTTCCTCTTTCCAGCAGGGCCAGCTGGAGTATTTGCTTGCAACACGTGAGGTCACACAAGCCTTTTCTTTCTTTCTTCCTGCTTCTTTCCTCATTTTGGACCGTTTTGCTTTCTCTCCCCCCCCCCTCCCCACAGGTACGAGGACGCTCTGGTTTTGCTGCTGACCGAAGTACTAAACCGAATACAGTTCAGGTACAACCAGGCCCAGTTGGAAGAGCTGGACGACGAGACGCTGGATGATGATGTAAGAAACGGAGTCCTTGAAGCAGGGGTGAAATGTAAAATTTGTTCTACCAGTTCTGTGGACGTGGCTTGGGGGTGGTGGGGGTAATGTGATGGTGGGCGTGGCCAACTTTTTTTTTTTTTTTACCTTTCAAAGCATTTTTTCTAATGCTTTGAAAAGCCTCTGCTGATCAGGCAACTCAGCTGGGATAGTCAGAGAGGATTTTTAAAAAATACCTCTCTGACAATCCCAGCTGAGTTGCCTGATCAGCAGAGAGGTATTTTTTAAAAATTTATTATCAGGCAACTCAGCTGGGATCGTCAGAGACTTTTCAAAGCATTTGTTTTACCACCTCTTCAGCCAAGAGGTTGCAGAAAAAAAATGCTTTGAAAAGCATCTGATGATCCCAGCTGAGCCGCGCAATCATCAGAGGCTTTTTTTTTTTTTTTTACTTTTAAAAGCATTTTTTCGTCGGAAGGGATTGTAGAAAAAATGCTTTTAAGAGTAAAAAAATGATGATCGTGTGGCTCAGCTGGGCATGGGGGGTGGGGGGCACAGGGATTTTTGCTGAACCACCCGTCACCATCGGTACCGGATCGGGCGATCCGATCCGAACCGGGAGCATTTCACCCCTGCCTTGAAGGCGTGAGATTGGGATGGGGGGGGCAGCCCATAGGCCAAAGTCTCCCAGGGTTCCCCCCCCCCACACACACACACATACACAGCATCCCTTTTGCAACTTTCTTTTTTAAAAAAAAATTTTTTATTAAATTTCCAAAGATTAAAATACACAGTACAAAAAGAAACATAATACACAAAAAAAACAAGACACACAAAAGAAATATAAACAAACAAAAACAAACGTATCAAATTTTCAATACTAGCAACAACTTTTCTGCATCGGTATCTCTAACCTATTTAACCTTTCTACACAAAATATCTCTATTTTAAACTTACATCCTTGTTTAATTTATCTTAACTTCTACTTACAATTCGATCTCATAACAAAAGTATCCCTTAAGTTTTATGTTTACTCTCCAGCCAGGAATACCATTTATTCCATATTAAATAGTACTCGGAGTCCTCCCTCTCCCTTTTGCACCTTTTAAAGGATGGATGCCCCAAAGATGCTTCCCCTTCCCCCCCCCCCCCCCGCCCCAGAAAGCAACTGGACTTTTCCTTGAAGACGTTTCCCTTCTCATCCAAGAACCTTCTTCGGTTCTGACTGAACGGTGGCGTGTGGAAGGATAAAGCTTCTTGGATGAGAAGCGAAACGTCTTCAAGAAAAACTCAAAGGAAGCCCAGTTGCCTTTGGAAAAAAGCTCCTTTGGGACAACCCCGTAGACACTGGGTACCGTATCGTGAGACTAAAAGTGTAATGAAGAGACCCGTCCTCAGAATAAAGGCAGTAAAATATGTACCAATAGAGAATGATGCAAATGAGATTCTGTTAAGATTCTCCAAACCCAAGGATCTAATTCAGGGGTGACAAACTCAAGGCCTGCGGGCCGCATCTGGCCTGCGATGTGGTTGGACACGGCCAGTGGGGCCATCCTGGAAAACGTAAAGGGCCGGCCCATGTTGCTTTGACCCGGTCTACCCAATGCAAACAAGAAACTTGGGGCCAGCGTCGCTTCGGCCCGGTCTACCCAAAGGAAAGAGGAAACAAGCCAGCAGTTTGGAGAGTGGTGTCAAGCTGGCCACGCCCATCCAGCTAGCCATGCCCACCCAGTCGGCCACGCCCAGCACATGGTGTCAAGCTGGCCACACTCACCCAGGCAGCCACACCCAGCAAGTGGCCTCAAGCTGGCCACGCCACCCAGTTGGCCACGTCCACCCCCTTGGTCCCCCCCCCAAGGTCAACCACAGCCCTGATGCAATTGAGTTTGACACCCCTGATCAAACTCCTGTTGTGCTGAAGGGAAATGAGATAAAATAGACTGTTCCATTTCAGATCAGCGGTCCCCAACCTTTTGGGCACCAGGGACCGGTTCTGTGGAGAGAGGTTTTTCCGCGGAGTGGAGAGAAAGTGGTTTCACATGCTGCCTGCATCATGAAGATGGGGGGGCTTCGCTTATTTGCATGGACCTGTTTTTGGCATGCTACGGACCAGTGCCAGTCCATGAACTGGGGATTGGGGACCCCTGCTTTAGATCACAAACGGGTAACATCATCTTTAAACCATCCACCATGCTGAAAATATTTCCCATGATTTGGAAACCGGCATGGGGAGATTAGAACCTTTCTCCTTGGAGCTGTTTGACTTCATAATATAATTGCTTTTCTCCCCCCCATTGTTCCAATAAGGTTCCAGGTTTAGAGTTAAGAGCCCGACTTTGAAGGAAATAAAAAAAAAAAACCAGCAGATTACATCTTTGTTTTTACCCCCTTAACAGCAACAGACCGAATGGCAGCGGTATCTCCTTCAGAGCTTAGAAGTTGTGGCCAAAGTTATGGAACTTTTGCCAACTCATGCCTTCTCTACGCTGGTAAGTGGACGGAGTGAATATCATAAAATGATAAAGAGCAGAGAGGGACCTTAGAGGCCATCTAGTCAATCAGTTTATTACAGTCTTAGACCAGAGACCAGAACAAATAAAAACGCATGACGGTGTCCCCTTAGACTTGCAAAATATGCCAAATTCTGGGTTAAATGCACCAATTAACAAACAGTACCTAGCTCATCAGTACTCAGCAGAATTATCTTCCAACAAGGGCTCCTACTGAGAACTCATACTGACAATAGAAAGACCAGTGCAAGAAAAATACCTTAAGCATTATGTCATGGAAGGTAGCTGGGTGATACCGTTTTAGAGGCTTAAATTACCGTATTTTTCGGACTATAAGATGCATCGGACTAAGACGCACCTAAATTTAGAAGAGGAAAACAACAACGAAAAAAGGTTTTGGCCTCCATGTGTCCCATTTTCAGGCCCTTTTTCTGGCCTTTTCCAGCCTTTTTTCTGCCCATTTTTGAGGCTTTTTCCAGCCCGTTTTTAGGCTCTTTTCAGCCCGTTCTTTTTGGTGGGAGGGAAACAGGTCGAAAAAAGCCTTGAAAACGGGGTGGAAAAAGCCTCAAAAACAGGGTGGAAAAAGCCCCGAAAATGGGCCAAAGAAAGCCTTGAAAATGGGCCAAAAAAAGCCTCAAAAACAGGCTGAAAAAAGCCCCGAAAATGGGTCAAAAAAAGGCCCCAAAACAGGGCATGCGGAAGCCAAAAAACGGGCGGCGGGTGGGCGGGACTTCGGCAATACTCGATCTATAAGACGCACAGACATTTTCCCCCTTTTGGGAGACAAAAAAGTGTGTCTTATAGTCCAAAAAATACAGTACTCTGATCCTGTGATAGATAAGGATATAATTTAGATGCAAGGGACTTGGAGCGCGGATGACCTCCTGCTACAGGGTTATCAGTCACATAAGCTAGAAGCAAGGCCAGGCAGAGGCCCAGGAAGCCTGAAGGGAGGGCCATCTAGTCCTATTCCCTGCAGGATACACTAAAGCAGTCTTTCTCAGCCTTGGCAACTTTAAAGGGTGTAGGACTTCAACTCCCAGAATTCTTCAACCAGCATGTCTCAGGCTGTCAATGCTACCTGGCAGGGATGGAACCTGGCCTGCCATTTGGATGTGGCTTGCTCTGGGCGCTCATTGCTTTCTTCTGATTCATTTAATTTTATTCCATATTTTTCAGCCTTGGGAACTTTTAAAATGGTGGACTTCAATTCCCAGAATTCCCCAGGCAGCTATGGGGAGCCCACACCTCTTAGAAGTTCCCATTGTTGAGAAACACTTGGTAGCGCCACGGTGGCACAGTGGTTAGAGTGCAGTACTGCAGGCTACTTCTGCTGACTGCTGGCTGCCTGCAAATTTGGCAGTTCGAATCTCACCAGGCTCAAGGTTGACTAAGCCTTCCATCCTTCCGAGGTTGGTAAAATAAGGACCCAGATTGTTGGGGATAAGAGGCTGACTCTGTAAACCGCTTAGAGAGGGCTGTAAAGCGGTATATAAGTCTAAGTGCTATTGCTATAGAACTAGAAGTTTAATTTTTTTCCCCCAACTCGCCATGGAAAGCATCGTGCTAAAAAGTTTATCGTGCCTAAAATGAGGTGGTAAGAAATCAAGCGAGAGTATTTGGCAAACTTTTATACAGAGAAGATTTGAGGGAAATTCCGATCTGGGAACCCAAATAGATAAAAGCAACTTCGTTTTTAGGCCTCTGTAAAACTCCCAACTGTTCCCACTGGTTTACTACTTAACCGCCGTGGAAGTGCTTCCTTTTCACTAGTTTCCAATGTGTTCTCCTTCCTTATTTGCGATATGCTCACGTGATTGTTTTTTTCAGCATGTTCGGTTTGTTTGTTTTGTAACTTTTTGAATCTCACGTCCCTGTTCCAATAACATTGGAAACATGTGATTAGCCACCGTGCAGATAATAAAAGCAAGCTTGAGAAATGAAAGCCGCTCTGTGTTTCTTCCTATTAGTGGACAGATGGATCTTTGCGGGCACATGCCACGTCCTGTTGAGTGGAAGGGCATTTCCCCATATCTTGCACGCTAGAACGAAAAAGAAACAGCAATGTTTTCTTTTTTGTTACTTCTGGAGAGTGTTCCTGCATTGTGATTTTGTTTCTTTTCCCACTTGCTACCCAAGGGTAACTTCCTTGCCTTATTTTACTACGGGAGTGAAGTCCGTTATTATGTCCGTTCTAATCTTTGAGTGCATCATAGAGTTTTGATCCAAGGGTCTCTTAATTCACATTTTAATACCAAATCTATTCTGATAAACTTTGTCCTTGACCCAGGGGTTCGCAGGGGTTCAGGAGAACCTCTAGCTAAAATTCTGTGCAGTTTGGATAACCCCCAAATCCCATTCCTTGCTGGCCCCACCAACTCCACCCCTCCCAGGAGTCCCCACGCGGCCCGTTTTGGATCCAGACAAGTGCAGGGGTGCACAGAGGCTCGGGAAGGGTGAAAAATGGGCCTAACTCCAGAGGGCCTCCAGAGCCTGGGGAGGCCGTTTTTGCCCACCCGGAGGCTCGAGGAAAGCCTCCGGAGCCCGTGGAGGGCAAAAATGCCCCCCCCAGCCCCCATGGTGCAGGAGGCCAACTAGGCCATGCCCATCCAGCAACCGGGCAAAGAACCCCTTGCTATAATTTTTGAAACCCACCCCTGCCTTGACCCAAAGGTGCTTTTTCAAGAAGCAACTGGACTTTCTGGTTTTTCTTTGAAGACGTTTCGCTTCCCATCCAAGAAGCTTCTTCAGCTTTGAAGCTTCTTGGATGAGAAGCGAAACGTCCCCATGGACAACGTGCCTTCCTGTCCTCTACCGGAGGCCATTTAAACTCACGCCGGCTGCTTCAGTGACTCCATCCAGCCACCTCGTTCTCTGCCGTCCCCTTCTTCTTTTGCCCTCAATCGTCTCCAGCGTTAGACTCTTCTCCAGGGAGTCCTTCCTTCTCATTAGGTGGCCAAAGTATTTGAGTTTCCTCTTCAGGATCTGGCCTTCGAAAGAGCAGTCAGGGTTGATCTCCTCTAGGATTGACCGGTTGGGTCGCCTTGCAGTCCAAGGGACTCGTAGAAGTCTTCTCCAGCACCAGAGTTCAATTACGGACATAAGTCTCAAAGACTACCTTTATGGGAAAATTTTGCAAAAATAAAACAGGACAGCTGGAAGCAAACCATAGGAAGTCAGCCTAATGTTGGTTTAACTAGGTTCCTGGAAAGAAAAGCTGATTATGATTCCTGCGCTGTACGTTTCATAATCATCTCCTGCTGAGAAACTGGGGCATACCTGCCAGCTTCCATCACGGTCCTTGCCTTGAAATTATCGCTTTAAATTTCTTGGTTGTGACAAGCACATCTTGCAGAGACCAGGGGGTTTCCCCACTGTTTCTCCCCATTGCTTAAAAAGGACGAGATGACTTTTCCTGCAGGGAACTAAATCACTCCAGACATTTTATTTATTTATTCAATACCTGCTGTGTTGAGAGAGAGAAGCTTGTGGCAATCTATAATAGAACAGCCTTAAATCTCTAATGAAACAGTCTAAATAATTTCACATGGCAATAATCCATGATTAAAAATACAGATAAAAATCAGAAAACTACCTGTCGAAAAGCAACAAAATTAATGGCGTGTGTCAATGTAGCCTAAAGATGACGAGGCTTTAAATTGGTGGTTCCAGGTTTAAAACGTCCTTTTTACAATGAATTTCCAAGGTGACTTTAAATAAGACATGGTGAAGGTCAGATTGGAAAATACTTCTTCCTCTTGAGAAATGTTTTCCCAGTGATTTTGCCCTGAAAGAACTATGCTTGTCTGGAAATAATCAAAATTGTGTCCCAAAGGTGCTTTTTCAAAAGGCTTGTTGTTAATAGTGAAGTCATGTCCGACACATCGCGACCCCATGGACAACGTTCCTCCAGGCCTTCTTGTCCTCTACCATCCTCTGGAGTCCATTTAAGCTCACGCCGACGGCTTCAATGACTCCATCCAGCCACCTCGTTCTCTGCCGTCCCCTTTTCTTTTGCCCTCCATCGTTCCCAGCATGAGGCTCTTCTCCAGGGAGTCCTTCCTTCTCATTAGGTGGCCAAAGTATTTGAGTTTCCTCTTCAGGATCTGGCCTTCTAAAGAGCAGCCAGGGTTGATCTCCTCTAGGCCTGACCGTTTGATCGCCTTGCAGTCCAAGGGATTCACAGGAATCTTCTCCAACACCAGAGTTCAAAGGCCTCCATTCTTTGGCGCTCAGCCTTCCTTATGGTCCAACTTTCACAGCCACACATTGCAACTGAGAAAACCATTGCCTTGACTATACACACTTTTGTTGGCAGGGTGATGTCTCTGCCATTTAGTATGCGGTCTAGCTTTGCCATGGCTTTTCTCCCCAGGAGCAAACTGGGCAAGCTGAACAAGGCTAGTGGACTTTTTTTCCCCCTTGAAGATGTTTCGCTTCTTATCCAAGAAGCTTCTTTAGTTCTGACTCCCCTTCAAGGAAAAACAAATCCAGTTGCCTTTTGAAAAAGCACCTTTGGCACAACCATGACCTGGATGACTGAGAATCTCCATAGACAATAGAAATTGTGCTTGGACACTTGCTGAGAAGGTCAGATTGGGAACCATGCCATAGAGCTACGCTGAGCTTTCAAACTGAATTTCTGGATTGGTTTTTTTCCCATTCTTCGTGCTTGAGATGTCTCATCCACTTTGACTTTAATTTCAGCTCTTGTAGTTACACCTTCCTTTTTTTTTTTTTGCTTTAGTTTCCAGTGCTCCAGGAAAATCTGGATGTGTATCTGGGACTCCAACAGTTCATTGTCACCTCAGGGACAGGTAAGGTAAACTTTCTGTGTTTGAAGTCTCAGGTCAATTCAATGTGACCAATATTCATTAATATTAGGAGCCCTGGTGGCACTATGGTTAAATTGCAGTATTGCAGGCAAACTCTGCCATAACCTGGAGTTCGATCTTGAGGGGGCTCAACGTTGACTCAGCCTTCCATCCTTCCGAGGTGGGTAAAATGAGGACCCAGATTGTTGGGGGCAATATGCTGACTCTGTAAACCACTTAGAGAGGGCTGTAAAAGCACCGAAAAGCGGTATATAAGTCTAAGTGCTATTGCTATAAGAGTCGGGGCATTAAAGGGAAAAGATCTCAGTTGCTGGAATTTGAAAGAAGCTGAAAACATATCTCTCTTGAAAGAGATCAGGGTCTGGCACAAAAGTACAACTCAGTTAGAATGTGATGGGGAATTTCAACACCCATTTTCCCAGCTTTGAGAGAGGGCAGGATTTCATATAACAGGGTTATGTACCATTCATCATTGCTAAAATACTGGTGCCACTCCTAACAACCCTTTTGTCAGTGGCCAGAATACGTAGGATCTGCCTGTTTCCTATTTCTCCTTTTTGCCATTTTACCCATCGCCTTTTCCCCACCGAACTGACAGCTGCGTCAAATGTACGCCCCTTTCTTGGGGCTATCCCTGAGAAACTATCCCTGGCTATATCTGATGAAGGGTATATTGTACTCCGCAGAAGAACATGCATTCATAAATCAGCTTTGAGCTTTTCGTTATTGCCGTCTCCATTCCAAGCTAATAACCATTTTTAAACAGTCTCCAGAATTGTTACGGAGACATAGGAAAGTACAAAATGAGGTGGTAGCTTGACATTGATTGACAATGGCATTTTAAAGGAGAGGACTGAAAGGACGTTTTGGAAGAGCCTGCATTTGGGTGCTTGGCAACTGTCTCATATTTATGACGGTTGCAGTGTCCCAGGATCACCTAATCCCCTTTTGCGACCTTCTGACCAGCAAAGTCAGTAGTGGCCAAAATTGTGGAAACTTTTTGGGAAAAGTATATTTTCTTTTTTCTTTTTTTTATAAAAGTTTTTTATTTTTATTTCTCATCAAACATACATAAATGTACAATCTCTTTAACCATTCTTATCACACATATTATCTTTTGGTTTCCATATTGGTTCATTCTTCATCCTAAAAGTTTAAAATACATTTGGAGTTTCTCTTCTACCATTCCATATCTCCCTTCTTCCACAACATCCATTCCTCTCCTTCTCCCCTCTTACCTTCCCTCCCTTCTTCTATTCTTTTCAACTTTCTTCTTTCCTTCTCTCCTTCCCCTTCCTTTCCCCCACTCAGCCCCTCTTTCTCTCTTTCTAACCCTTTCTCCTACTCTTATTTCCCCTCTCTTTCTTCCTCTCCTTTCCCCTTTCTTCCCCCTCTCTCTCTCTGGGAAAAGTATATTTTCTAAAACTAGCTAATAACACCACTTCTTTTTTTAGTAGTACCATAAAATTATATATCAATGCAAAGATAATTTAATCAAGAATATAATGCAATAATTTTTATGAAGGATTTGCTATTAGAATAGCAGTTACAGTAGAAAGAAGAAAAGTGAAACACCTAGATAAAACGAGATATGCAAAAATGATCCCCACGTCAGTTAATCCTTAATTGGGTAACCTTTAGCATGAATGACAGCTTTACAACATCTTCCCACGGAGTGAACCAAGTCTTTGAGTTCTGCAGCTGTTATCATGTGAAACCAAGATTGAAGGATGGCTTCTATTAACTGGTTTTATTGCTGGGTCGCTTCTGACTAACAAGTTTCTTGAGTCCGCTGCATAGAATTTCAATTGGGTTAAGGTCTGGGTTATTCCTAGGCCATTCCAGCAGTGGAATAGGATTATCTTGAAACTCCAAACAAAAAAAGTGATGTTATTAGCCATCAAACCTCAAAAATACACTTTCCCAAAAAGGTTTCCATAATTTTGGCCACTCCTCTACTTTACAATGGTGATACTAACTTAACAACCACAGTGATTCATTTAACAATGCTGGCCGTGTAAAATGGAGCAAAAGTCAATTAACAACCGTCTCAGTTAGCAGCAGAAAATTTGGGCTCAAGTGTGGGTCATAAGTCGAGGACCGCCTGTAGCGCACACTCATGATTTAGGGTTTGAATCTTGGATCGTTGCTTGTGGTACCGTATAGTTGCCTTGTTCTGAAAAGAGCCCGAAGCTTTCAAAGGAAGGAAGACGAGCAAAGGATGAGGGAGAATTAAAGTAAGACTATCCTTTTTCAGAATCGTCCTTTTGTTTAATTGGAGCCATGAAAGAGTCTCCAGTTCAGAACTGCGATGGGCAAAACCACTCCTTAGACCAAATGCCTGTAATGCAATCCAATAATTGTTTCATTTCCTGCAAAAGGGAACGTTATAATTAGATTTCTCTTCTTGAGAGCTTCGTATGCTTTCAGGGTTATCGTTCTGGACGAGCTCAGTCCTTAAATTCCATTAAGAGCAAAATTGGGACTAGTCCAGGGGGGGGAGGGGTAACTATGGCCCCTTTACGACCCGTGAACTTCAACTCCCAGAATTCCTGAGCCAGCCATGCTCACCCCTGGACCTAGTGGGTGGGATCTGCAACCTTAAACACTCAAAGAGCCATTTGGACCCCATTCCCACAGAAAAGAAAACACCGGGAGCCACAAAACTTGGGTGGGCGTGGCCAACTCAACATCACTCACTTCCATCAGTCACATGACCCCCGTAGTCACGCCTACCCAGCAGATCATTAGGGCAGAGAACCGGTAGTTAAAAAACATGGGGAACCACAAAACCCTTTTGACATCTCTCCCTCCCTCCC